TTTCCTTATTTGCTTACTGTGCCAATAACTATTAGCCTATCTTTAAGGTCAAAAGAACGTATCTTCAACTTTCATATTGATTGTAGTCCTCCAATATGCAGCTCATATTGTGGTGTTCTTATGCTGGCGTGTATTAAGTTCTTTGCCAGAAGATTCACCACGAGGTTCAGTGTGGTAAGTGGTGTATATATCTGTGTTTTGTGTGAAGATCTCTGGAATGGTTGGCTAAAGTGTTTGTTCTATTCTTACATTTACAGGGGAAGATTCCTATTGCTCGTGTAAATCTGTTCTTAGATGACGTGGAGTGTGAAGTGAACAAATTGAAAGATTGTCTAGGAGATGTGATTTCAGGTCCTAGGAAAACTACGCAAAAACTGTGATGTGTTGGTGTTAGTGGCTGGATAATGGTGTAATTATTTCCTGGGGTTGAAGTGTGGGACTGTGGTGTTTCTGAGTACTGTCTTTTGAACATTTGTTTTCTGAGTACTGGTGGAATGTAAATGACAATCATCTAATTACCAAACGTTGCAAGTAACACTAGTGGAATGTGAATGATAATCTTACAATTTAGTTCACAGTTGTATAGTAGAAGTGTCATTTGTCTTCGAAATGGTACATTAAATTGGTGTGGGTTGTACCATTTATCTGGTTTTGTTTAGGTATAATTAAAAGTACAAACGTACCACTATGATTACAGTTGTGCATAATCATTTCATGTAAACAACGTAGGTACGTCGTAGGTGCACACAATGTAGGGCTCATTATTCATGTACACAGCACGGCATAGTTACGTAGTATGTACATTACAAAGCTTAAGACAATTTAATGTACCACTATCACAGTTAAGTGGAATATTCAAGGTTCCCCCTACTCGTAATAACTTTAGAGCTAATACATGCATTAAAATAACAATCAAGGCTCAAACAATCAAGGCTCAAGCCATAAAAGAACATAGTGAAGACATAGTCGAACATAGTTAAGGAATAACCAAAATAGAGTGTTAGGAAATACAGGAAAATAGTTTTGGGGAAAGGCAAATAAAGCTACAGCTCACAAAGATATAGAGCATTATAGAGAATTTGATCCCTGCTTCATCATAGGTCTTTTCTAAATCCCCAATGGTGGGTGGAACCATCAGAATCCAAACCAGCATTGAAGTAGTAACTACCTGCCTTTGCCTCCTCGTCCGAGCTGAACGGGTCATTGTGCAATTGAACTTTTTGCGAAGGCCATGATGGTGGTGGTGGTGGAACCTGTAATTGCAAACAACACTTAGTCAGCTAAATAACTCACATTGCACTAACTTACACTCAAAATAATATTATTACTCAAAAAAATTACCTGGAAAAAACCATCAACAACCAACCCATTCGCCTCACTAGATATGTGGAAGAAATTTCCCCTCGGCATATTTGGTTTCCAAAACATCATAACTCCACTAGGCCTTGACTGCGGACCACATATCTCTGCTTGATATTCACCTGGGAGGCTACAAACAACGAGATTGTTCGCCTCATGTTTTCTAGAACAAGCTTCCAAAATGATGACCAAGATCGGGTTAAATTTTTCGTGTAGGGCCACGAAGTGTTCCGTAAAGGAGGGCCTTGTGCACCCTCGGGCGTTCCAAATTAGAATGAGCGACCCCTAATCGACTACGCCATGCTCTTCGATGGTTGAGGAAATATGCTCTCCTTTATAGCTAACACGGTGGTACCGTTTACGAATGGGCCAACGATGGTTAAGCCTAGGATTAGTGGTACAACCTTCAACCTAGAACCTTAGGTGGGTGTTAGTAGTATCGACCGTCATGAGGTGGAGGGTATCCGTGAAAGACCCAACAAATATGTGGCGCTAAAGCGTGGGGAAACTGTAACCAACTATGGAGTCGGTGTTAAGATTGGGTTTCAAGTCAATTGCCTCCTGTATCTCAGGTGGTACCGTGAGAGGGGACGGCGAGGAATAGAACCTCTCTATGAGCCAATACAACATGACACAAGCTCCCTCGTCGTAGCAACCCACCAAGTCCTCTAAGAGAGGAAGGTGTCCAGAAATCGCCCTGTCATCTTGTAACAGCATGCCATTAGTTTGGCAGCACATTGATTGGAGGATATGTGCTCTAATAGACTGCACAGGCTGGTATATACCTTTATAAAAGTTGTAAGCATTGCTAAAATACTTTACTAAATTCAGGTTTATTTCGGTCACCAACCCCAGGTTTTTTTTGAAAGTACAATATCGGTTGTCGTGGATGGGGTAAGAGTTGGTGACCTGAGCTACAATGGTTCACAACGGAAGTTCCGGCCATTTTAGTTGCTTAGGAAGAGGATGGAGATGAGATGAAATGAGAAATGGAAGGAAATGGATGCAGAGTATGGATGGAAATTGAAGTGAATTTTATTGTGATGAAATTGTTTCAAATTCCTTCAAACTGATGCATCAGTTCCCCAGTGTATTGTCTTGTCCATGAAAGCACAACTCGTCTTGGAAATGGTGCCAAGGTAGTCACGATTTTTTGGTGGTACATTTGACTTCTGTATTCGCTTGGACCATTTTCCTCTTTTAGAGAACTAAGTGTACCACTGTGCGTATTGTTTAAATTTTTACCTTAAGATACGATGGTGAATTTTGGAATGCAGGCTACACGACCTAGGTCCGGTACTACGGCTCAGAGCAGTCGTTTCAAAAGAAACGCACATTTATTCCAGTAGAACAGTATATATTCACAAATATTGTTATACAGTATCGTAAATCTCTAAATCTCCAGAAGGTTGTGCTAAACAATTTATTGAGGGATTATGAATGGGTTATATGAGGTCAACTCTAGTACTAGATACATGCGTTTTCCTTTTCTTTTGTACCACCCGTAATACAGTGGTTCTCTTAAATATTTATTTTGTCCCACCTTATTATAGTGGTACCCTAGTTATCTATATAATTTAACAGTTGATAACAATAAAGGACATGGACGACCCAGACAACGAATTCCAGCAGATGGACGTATATGTTTTAAAAGTTACTGAACTCGTTGATGGGGTAAGTATCCCAGGGGTTGCGATTATGTAGTTTAAGGGTACAGAAAGGAATTTCCATAAGAGTCTAAGACATGTGTGAAACCCACTACGAAAGATAATAGTGTTGCGAACAAATGTAAGTTAAAATTGTCCTCTTATGAGTGGACTGTAGCATTCCTACACTGAAGCACTCCGACATACTATGTGAGTTAGTTTCACTGAAGCATTCCAACATACAATATGAGTTAGTTGTTTGAATTACCACTGTCAATAGTTTTTTAAAGTGTTGTTCTGTCCATAGGTTGTGATTTACAAATTAAAAACATACTATGACTTAGTTATTAGTAACTAGTTATTAATAATCCATTTCTTTTTCTAGTGGTTCATTTTATAAGCAATTTTGTACCACAATGACTTCAGTGGTCCCCAAGTTGTCTTAGTGATACCCTGGATCACATGACACGGTGTCCTTGAAACTTTACACGTTTGATTAGTAAAAAATGGTTTAACAACCTACATTGAGTCAAAGACAAAATTCAAGGACTGCGATATAGTCACTAAAGAGAACTCTAGTATTGATACAAGTAAGTGTTACGGGAAAAAATGGTATTGAACAGTGCTCTACGGTCATCGTAAATATCATAACGTTCTGATTTACAAATCACTAAGATCCTAGTGTACTATGACTTAGTTATAAGTAACTTGACTAGTTGGGTGATGTCAACGTCCTCCTACATAGGTATTTGTACCATCCTGAAGAAGAATAATCCATTTCTTTTTCCAGTGGTTCATTTTATACACAGTTTTGTACCACCGTGACTTTAGTGGTACCCAAGTTGTCTTAGTGGTACCCTTGATCACATGACACAGTGTCCTTGAAACTTGACACGTTTGATTGGTAAAAAATGGTTTAATAACCTACATTGAGTCAAAGACAGAATTCAAGGACTGCGATATAGTCACCAAAGAGAACTCTAGTATTGATACAAGTAAGTGTTACGGGAAAAAATGGTATTGAACCCGCTCACTATCGTTGAATAGTTTCCAACAGGGCTCTACGGTCATCGTAAATATCCGAATGTTCGGATTAACAAATCACTAAGATCCTAGTGTACTATGACTTAGTTACTAGTAAATTTACTAGTAATTATTTATTAGTAACTTGACTAGTTGGGTGATGTCAACGTCCTCCTACGCAGGTATTTGTACCACCCTCAAGAAGAATAATCCATTTCTTTTTCCAGTGGTTAATTTTATATGAAGTTTTGAACCATCGTGACTTTAGTGGTACCCTAGATCACATGACACGGTGTCCTTGAAACTTGACACGTTTGATTGGTAAAAAATGGTTTAACAACCTACATTGAGTCAAAGACAGAATTCAAGGACTGTGATATAGTCACCAAAGAGAACCACTAGTACATAATTAACCTTAAGTAACACCTAAAAAGTGTTACATAAAGTGGTAAAAGTGTTATTGTAGACAATAGGTAACACTTTAGTGGGTGATACATCCACCCATGTTACCTAAGGTCTTATGTAACACTTTGGATAACATATGGTAACACTTTTAAAAGTGGTACCATAAACCATCTTATGTAACACTTTTTTATATTATTATTATCAGTTTTGAAGTGTTACTTTTCGATCCTTAAGTAACACTTACTTATCTTTAGTAACATTTTTCAAACATATAGTATCACTTTATCCGAAATTATGTATCACTTTTTCAATCTAATGTAACACTTTGTTAATTATTAACATTTTTCAATCATCTTTTGACATATAATAGCACTTTATTCGACATTATGTATCACTTTTTGCAAGCTTATGTAACACTTTATTCATTAATAGGTAACATTTATTATTATTATTATTATTATTATTATTATTATTATTATTATTATTATTATTATTATTTATTATTAAAAAATCACAAATCAATACAAAGTACTTCACCTGATCACCACAAGCTATATTCATTATCAATAAAACTAAATTCAATCTTTAATTGATAAAGGTGAAGTCAAATACAAGAAAAAACCAAATAAATCAAAACTTAGTAGTACTCCATTACACTATTATTATATACAATTAAAAAGAAAAAAAAAACTACACAACAGCTCCAAGGAAATAAAACTAATGGAATCAAGTTTCTCTCTATCTTCTACTAATTGCTTGATGATTTACGAGTGTCTTCGATTAATCTGCACAATAAGCAAAAAAAAAAAAAACTAAAATTAAAAATCAATCAAATATACACTAAAGTTAAACATAGAGACATAATTAGGCCTAACAAGTGAACACAAAAAAATGTATACTGAAGCCTATAATGTCAAACCTTCCAAATATATCTTGATCATGTTAGTTCATATTGTATTACAGCCTTAGAAAAGATAAATTGAGTACCATATACCGAGAGCAATGCAAGTTCATTTGTCAACATAACATTTCAGCCAATTCATACAGATCTTATAGTGCAAAAAAAAAAAAAAAAAAAAAAAAAAAAAAAAAAAAAAAAAAACAGAAGCTTAAAGAAATTGATCAACCCACACTTCAAATTAAAAGAAAGCAAATACCTACCCATCTACAATAATGAGTAAAACATGGTATCGTCCTCTACTCTCCTCAACAATTGTCATGGCCATCTCAACTACAGGAGCAAACAATGTAGGTCCTGCCACATCGAGAGATAGATAGTGAGCCATTGAATTATCATGAAAATCTAACAATAAAAAGAAATGGAGCCAATATAACAAAAATACGATGAGAAATTAAATTTAGTTTATTTTTTTGACTGGATTTAGTTTATTAGTTAAGCAGAATTAACTATTACTCCAATAACAGCCAATCATCCATTGTTAATCCATCCCTTCATCCTGAAACAGAGCATCTTACAATAAGGAGACTTAACCATTAACTTCAAGGCCCTTGGGAGATCTGCGAGGATGGGATAATAGCTCCAGCTTAAGCGACGGGAGGGTGAAAGACATGATCTTGTGAGGTATCAGATGCAGCTTGAGGCACAAATTGCCAAAAGGGAACACCAAAGTAATTAATCAAGGGCATCAATTTGCCACCAACAGCTTGACAGGGGATAGCGTATGAAGTTGGAACTGAAGTAGGATGGAAATGTAAGCTAGGACAAGAACCTACAAAGTTAATTCTCTACTCTAACTTCTCTTTAATATCTCTGACACTAACCTATGTTTTTCAACGGGAAGGGCTTTTTTCTTTGCCTGCATTAGTACAATGTGCAGATAGTTTAGACATCACCATCCTTGATAAACAGAACTACCAGTAAGAGATTAAGGAATCAAATAATATACAAAGTATTATTTGGTATTAGGGCTGATTTGTGAGATTATTGGCTAGCAGGTTGATGTAAAATCCTTAATTTGTTCAAAGCTTACAGATCAAAGCAAATATAAAAGAGTCAGAACCTTCAATTCATTAATCTTTTCTTTTAATTCGCCATTTTGGCTAGTTAAGTTACAAGTTTCTTCACGTAACAGCTTTACTTGCCGAATAGCATCAGTTAGTATAGCGGCTTTGTGAAACTTGGGTGTTGTTCCAGACCTTAATGTTTCACTTAACTCAAGGAACCTACCAACAAACTGGTAATAAGTACATTGAGAAAAATAATAAGGCGAAATGAGATCAAAATCCCTCAAATATTAAAACTGTACATGCCTTTAATTTAGAGGATCCCTTTATTGTTTCTCACGGCATGCTTTGGAGCTGCTGGATGCAGTGACTTATCCCAAGTTACAATTTTTAACAAGTACCTTTTTCGGCAGCAGTCATCAAAACCATACAAACCCTCACTTTAATCTTGAGTGTCCGCACTACATGGACAAAAAGAAAGCAAACTCAAACATATTGTATATGATCAACAAAAATAATCCCTAAGATACCTTAATTGAATCAGACTTCGTGTGAACTAACTCATTTCCACAAAGTATTCTTGCTTTGGCAAAACTAGATTTGATTCAAAGAATAGCCCAAGAGAAACAACTCAATGGTGCAGAAGAGCATAACGACAATCAGCGCAATTGCAAACCGTCATCAGTAGTAACCGAAGGCAGCAGCAGCTTGCAATTCAACCGTAACAGCAGTAGCAGCAGACAACCATAACAGCAGTAGCAGCAGACAACCATAACAGCAGTGGCAGTAGACATTTGTTACAACAGCAGACATCAGTTAACAGCAAACAACCATAACAGCAATAACACCAGCAATATTCAGCGGTAACAGTGACATCAACGGCACCAGTAATAGCAGTAAACAGCTCCTTGCTTTAGATAATGCATCATGAAAAGAAGACGGGATTTCAACCACTAGTGCAATCTCATTTAAGGAGTTACACATGTTCTTATTTACCCTATCTTTAACCATGGTAAGTTCCTACACAGATAACCAAAAGAAAATCAACAATCCACTTAGCTAAATGCCAACTTTTAATATTCTTACATGATCCACAGGTAACATTGTAGCCCCTATAACCTGGCCTAGTTATCCGGGGTAATGATTGTCTACATATAATGTGACAGCCATTAGAGCTTCATTTGCATGAGAGGTCGAGAAACATATACACAAATTTACGAGTAGTAGCAAATAGCAGTAGCTGTAGCAGGCACTAGTTACAGCAGGTTCTTGATGTTAAGGTAGTTAGCAGCTTAAACCAAGAAACATGACACTGAAAGTCAAGATCGTGAGTTTTACAAACAACAGTTTCAAGCCCTAGGGTTGTACTTAATAGCAGGTCAAATCCAGACACAAGTGCTAAAAAAGGGCACATCAATCCTTGTCTATGTTATTTCAAAAGCATTACATTCTTGCCTAACTTTCTAATTGTAACCTAACAACCAAGAGCTTGACTAGAAGTAACTGATTACGCAACCATGAGAAAGAGATAAATATAGTATAACTGAGTTTTTATGACTAAAGTGAAAGCTAAACTCATCATACACCTAAAATCCCAAATAACATCAAACAAAATACAAGGAGAAAATAGGTAAATTTTAGAAAAATATCCAATTAATCATCTTAACCCCACAAAAATGTGGCAACTGATGCAACTATCACTAATTTTGTTACAAAAGTAACAAATAATTAGAAAAATTATAGGGATAATGAAATATAATAACCCAATTCCATAATTAGAGCTTAATATGTATATATATATATATATATAAAGAAAAAAAAAACCTTTCCAAGAGTGGTAGTTTTGGCAGCAGCAGGAATTAACAACAGTAGCTTGAATATCAAACACCATTCCTCTAATTATAATTGGCATTGCCTTTGATTTCTTCATCTCTTTCGCCCATAATTACTTGGATTCTTGACAAGCTTATGAGTTATAAATTCAAAAAATAAATTAATTAAATTATAATTGGTCAGATTAGTCAACAAAGATCAAATTAAAAGGTAAATCAATCAGCAGTATTCGAAAAAAAGAAAAAATGAAAAATCCCAAACTCATTTAATTAGTGAAATTAAATATGCATGCAAAATTCCGTATGAAAATAGTGAAATTAAATATGTTAATAGGAAAATTCAACATCAAATTAAGAATTCATCTATAAGATCAGAGAAAGGGAATCAAAACCCTAACTTTAGCTAGCTCAAATTCTTGTTGATAGTGGAAGGGAGAGGAAACGACTAACCCTAACCTAAAATTTAAGGTGGAAGCGATCGACTAGGATGGACGCTTATAGGTGGTAATCGCTGTCTTTGGAGGTGGCAATCGTTGTCTCTTCGCTTGGAGCACGGGCTGTTGTTTACATCTTCGAGTTAGAACACTGGTCGCGATGGAGGTAGGCTGTGGTGGACGGGGGCTACGATGGAGCACCGGGAATGAGAAGAAGGTAGTGGTGGAAGCCAAGGAAAGGAGGTGCAGTAGAAGCCGAGGAAGGGAGAAATACGAGGAGGAAGAAAGTTGGGTTACACGAGGGTCGATTGAATGTTTGAATCAGGTAACCGGTGTTGATAAGAAAAAAAAAATTAAAAAACAAAATATCAAAATGTTACAACCAAGTGATACCTAATATCAAAGTGTTACAATAAAGTGTTACATAATATTAAAGTGTTACAAAAATTGTTACCTAAAACAACAATGTTACAAAAGTGTTACATAAAAATCAAACAATCATGATTTTGTTAAAGTGTTACCGGTAGGTGTTACTTAAGCCCAATTTTGTAGTAGTGAACTCTAGTATTGATACAAGTAAGTGTTACGGAAAAAAATGGTATTGAATAGGGCTCTACGGTCATCGTAAATATTCGAACGTTCTGATTCACAAATCACTAAGATCCTAGTGTACTATGACTTAGTTATTAGTAACTTGACTAGTAATTAGTTATTAGTAACTTGACTAGTTGGGTGATGTGAACGTCCTCCTAGGCAAGTATTTGTACCACCCTTATGTCACTGAAGAGAACTCTAGTTAAAGAAAGGGATTGCGATTACGACATTGTTAGTTAATGAAGGTTATTTGTCCGAATTAGAACATTATTCACTTTTTATTGTCCCATACATACCTAAAATTGCAAATTCTACTCTTACAACACAAACAGAAAATCACACAAAGCTTAAGCATATTTTAGTGGTACATTTATTGCTTAAGACATGTACCATTAATTATTATATTCATGCATAACTGTGAAATGGCAGTTTCCCAGATTATGCGCGCCGGATTTCTAAATCTCCCCCACTAAATCATCATATGCGCTTAAAATTGACATTGATTATCCACCATCATCATCACATCTCCCAACCCACTACATCCACTCCCTTGCAAAATGTGAACCGTCACTTTACAGTCTACTTATACGTCAAACATTTTTTACAAAAAAAAACTCATTTCATTCTATTCCAAAAAACAGAGGTCAAATTTCAAAAAAATCGCAAAAAGGAAAAATGGATGTAAAAGCGAAAAGGCGAAAAATTTCAACTTTTATGGTTGACATCCTTCCGTCAGAAGTGTTGGCGACCATTCTAAGTTGCTTTGTTAAGTTATCTCTTGCTGATTTATTCGGTGCAAATTAAGGTAGGCTTAAACTTGCAATATGTACTCTGTTTCTCATCATATACACAGAGAATGTAATAATGTAATTTCTGCCGTATAACTTGATAATAGTTGTAAGACCCTGCGACGGATAGCCGAACAAAAAGGGGTCCTTCAACAAATTCACCTTCCTTGGATTTAAACACGAAGTTGGTCACACAGAGAAGAGGCGGACACGTTCTTCATGAAGTGCGTGCAGAATGAACATCCTGAAGCTCTGCTTAAGTTTGGATTTGTACGTCTTCTTTCTCATTTCTTGGGATTTTTACTCCTTAGAATTTTTATTGTAGACTTCTAGTAACTGTTTTCTCATTTCTCTTTACTGTAGCGACAATACTAAAACACCTTGGTGGTAGACGAAGGATTGACGAGGTTGAAAAGAGCAACTGAGTTGCAGAATTCAATGGCAGCATATGTAGTAAGCCTCATATATATATACACCGGCGAAGAAGAAAAAGGTATTAAGCTTTTGGAGAACACTATCAACAGCATCGGATCTGCAGGGATAGTCTAGTGCAGAAGGAAGTTACGTGACGTGGCGAGTTCAAATTGAATGCAAAATCATATGGTTGTACATTATATGCCACAGCCAAAAATATTCTGCAAACAAAAACTACAACACGAAAAGAACTTATCCGGATGGGTTGGTCTTTATGACGAGGATGTTGAAAGTACAATATCTTGTTTAACTTGTAAATGCATTAGGGAAATAAGCGTATTTTATACAATAGTACGTGGTCTACTCACCGGTCCTGTGTGATGAATATGATCTATATAATGACATTTCTTTTTTAAACTTGCAGATTATGATTTGTTAACTTTGTGTTTCGGTTGCACATAATGATATGTTTTACATTTCTTTTTTGAACTTGCACTCACAATTGCTACTACACGTGCGATGTTAGTTAACGGTTTTGTCTCAGTTTTATTTTTGACATTAAAAAAAACAGCCAAATTAGGTTATGTGTTTAAGTTCCATCAATTATAGTCGTTAATTTACCACAATCACAATTGCTAAAAGGACAATTGCTACTACACGAGTGATTTTTGTTAACGGTTTTGTCTCAGTTTTATTTTTGATATTAAAAAAAAATCCGTTTTAGGGTATGTGTTTAAGTTCCATCAATTATAGTCGTTGATTTACCACAATCACAGTTGCATTACCAACACTACAGATACGATTTTCAAGTGGGTGTGTGAGATGTTTGAAAATATGGGTGTTGTAAAAGGACGATTTAAAATCATGAAGATTTGGCTAATGTTTTAATTTTAATTAAAGTGATAGTTGACAACACAATGACAATGACACACTTTCTGAAACGCAAGTATTTTTGACAATTTGACAATGACCTTACAATGCCAAAGTTCATGGGAAACACGCGTAATATTTGGACTGATGTACTACTTCACTATTTCGCAGTGAAATTGTAATGCAGTGTAGGAGGGCATATAGTTTCTCCACTATTCCTCTCTTCTTAATTCCCCAAATTTTTTTCCCCATATAAATTCGGAATTACAAAAATCAAAAAAATCTTAACCAAATATTCAAGCATTGTCACCTTCAATTCTTAATCCTTCATTCTCATACCCTCATCAATTTCAATCTCTCTCCCCTAACCCTTCTTTCTCTCTTCCTATTTATGGTTATACTCCGGGTTTCATGAATTTAATTACATATTAATCACATTATATTGTCTGAAATTGCTTACGTATTACCCACTTGTCTTTTCTATGCAGTTTTGATGGACTAATAGTGCCTTTTCAAAATTGTGGCTTTTTAAAATATCTCTTTCTAACATTGCTTCGTTTATTGTGTTTTACAAAATTTTCAATTCTCATCAGACTTTTCTTTTTAAACCCCTTTCGTTGTCTTTTCAGTTCTCCGTTTTCTTTGACATTTTTGTTTACGCAGCTTGTGGTTTCTCCAAATTATTAGAAATATTTTCCTCTTCTTCCTACGAACACCGAAACCATGGCTACAAACAGGGAAGTGAGTGAGTTGGAAGCACAGCTTGAAGTGTTGTACACTAAATTGGCTGAAATTCGTGCCCAGTGGAAGGTCAGGGGAGAAGAATTGGCAACAATTAGAGCGGCACATACGCCAAAGCTACAAGAAGCAAAGGTTTTGTCGGCCCAATTGAAGTGGGTTCGACACCAGCGCATTGCAGAGCTTGATGGGAAAGTTGATGAAATTCGTAGAAGTCATTTATGAGGTTATGGAAGAGATGGGGCGGCAATTGAAAATGTGGAACCGGTTGAGAGGATAATTGAACAAAAGAGGGGTGGAAATGTGGCTAGGAATGTTGGTGTTCGAGGAGGTCATGTAGAATAGAGGGGTGAAGGTGGTGTTGGAGGAGGTCCTGGAGAACAGAATGAGGTTGGTGGTGTTGATGATGAGATGGAATGCATAATTAAATATAAGAAACACCACATATATGCTCTGGTATTGTTTTTAACTTGCGTATGTGTGTTTGTCTTTGTATTCGTGGAATAATTATGTGTGACTAATTTTGTTCTTGTGTTGTTTTCCTTGTGCGTAGCCTCTTCCTAGTCATCGGAATTATTTTGCTTTTGTTTTTTCGGCTCCTGTTCGTATTCAACGTGGTCCTGGAAGTCCAGCGTGGAATGTGGAATTGCTTAGTGGTAATATTAGTGACACTCGTGGTCTATTCATGTATTCTGGTTGGGAAAACTTTGTGGCTGACAATGATGTAGCATGGTGATACTCTCGGTGTCCGTTATGTTGGTCAAGGAGTTTTCCATATATTACTGTGCTAACAGATGTTGATGATGGTGATGCTAATAACTAAGAAATCAATTGTCTATTGAAACCTTGTGTTGGTTTATGTCGGTAGTAGCTTTTGATAATCTAGTTTTAATTGTAGCATTTTGGATTATACTGATGATAATCAATTTGGTACTCTAAGCTTAAAAATGCAGTTTCTTTTGGACAATATTTGTGTATTGAATAACAATATTGGCATTTTCAACAACTATTCTACTTTAAATAAGAAGTTCAGCATCTATATTTCCAAAAACATAACATACTTAGCTTTATTCATATGAAATAGCATATTACAGCTGCATTACATTATTTCAAAGCTACCAATAATAACACAAAATACATAACAACACCAATTTTAACCACAAAATGAACAAAGTCAGCAAATTCATCTATTTTGTGCATAAACTCATTGAATTCTCTCCTCAGAAGTTGAACACTTGTAGCTTCAGGTGTGTTACCCACCCTACCTGCTGTGTCACACACAAACTGCTCCTCCTTAACCCACATGAAAAATTCACATAACCTGCACTTGTAGTAAGGCCTTCCTGGGTTTGAAACAAAGCTTGAGAATTGAATATCAGTAGCTCTTGAGGGGTCACAGTTGCAATTTACTGATTTGAACCACAAACTACTTCCACTCCTGATGCCTGAAGAACCCATGCCAGAAGAAGTCATTAACAAGCAAAAATAAAAACAGGGAAAAGGGAAATTTGAGATGACGAAGAACAATAAGCTGCAAATGTGGGTAGGTTAGTTTGAATAGAAAGAGGGAAATTTCGAATGAGGCATCTCCCATTAGGTGAGAAGACCTCTAAGTTCGTAAAACTCCAAGTTTTTATTGGTCGGGTCCCGACTAACCTTCAGGACTTGGACCGTTTGGGTCGGGTTCATGGGTACGAGCCATTGGAGGCGTTCACACTTGTGATGCTCGAGCTTTCGAAGTAAGAGCTCGATTTGCGAGCGAAGCACGCATCAAAGGTATAATATTTTATCCTTTCTTATGCTTTAGATTATGTTTTTCTTGTTAATTGCATTTATTATGGGGGCGGGTCTTGGCGGGTTTCATTCTGCGTAGTTTGGGTCACTACGAAACCCAATAGGAACCCAAGAGGTCCGGCAAGAGAGACAGTCGGCCTACACAGCCGGCGAAAAAAGAAGAAAAGAAAAGAAAAGAAGTCTAGGCAGCAGACCGCATCAGCCGTCCCAGAAG